TAATAATAAAACGCCACCTATTACTCCAGATAAGATAAATTATTTTATTCAATCTTAAGCCAGTCTATATGCAGACTGTTAAAACAGTTTGTACGTGTCCTGTCAGTCCCAATAAAGTCGTTAAGGCAAAACGTTGGCTTTGATAAAATATTTCATATGGAGTAATTGGTCGTGTTTTTTTTATTACTAAATAAAAAAACACACAAAAAAACCAAAGTCCAGTCTGCCCTACAATCTTTTAAACTCCCAACATGGACATAGCTGAGAAGAAACAAGTTCAGGATGCGCTATGAATGACAAGCATAAACTAAACGGTAATATTAAGTATAAAAGAAATAAAACATTCGGTAATAAGTCTACAAATTAAATAGCTTAAAATTATCGTGTAAGCACCAACATGATGGTTTAAGCATTAAATATGTTAGTTGCCAATAATTCGAGATTAATTTTACACAAATAAATGTAATAACAGTATTTCAACTAATACAGGTTAATGAACAAGGTTAGTCTATGATGTTAGACTAGCTCCATTAGTTAAAATCCAAAGAATCGATCCAGGATATTGATTTATACTTTGTTGAAAAGTGATTATATGAGATTCCTAAGTTTCTGAAAAAAATAGTCAGAGAGTTCTTTATAAATAGACCTGCTTAAGATGTATGGAGTAAGAAGGCCACACAAAAGATTTGGACATGTTATAGCTAAAACTATCAAAGGCTGATCAATAAATATACACGCTTTATATTGCTGTTCTTTTATTCTCACTCAATTATTAATTATTATAAAAACAAATGCGGCCGAAACATCTAGACAATTATCTTTTGTTTTTTGCAGTAATAAATAATTGTGGTTTAAATGGCGTATTACATTTATTAAATATCACAAGATATGAGGAAACAATTATGTTCTTTGTTACGAGATCTGAGTCATCGTTGTTGTTTGACGTGTTTTTAGTTTAGCAGGTGTGAATACCTTTTCTAAGTTGACGAAGCATGATTATAATTATACTTGTCATAAAACATTAATGTTAGGCCTATTACATTTTAACACCAAATTCGTTACTCAGTCCCTTAAGTTTTTCAAGAAGAAGAAAAAGAAAATATAATAGTATTTCGACCACATTTTGATCGCCATATCCGACGACGCGTTTCGCTCAATACAGAGTTCATCAGGCAGGCTGGGGCACAACAAACACAATAGTGTTCGGAACATTATTTATATAGATCATTTGTTGCAACAAGAATTGTTATGGCGTGAACGTTTTATGTACGCTGGAGAAATATTATAATCCTTGTCATAAGACCAATACAATATCTTATGACAAATATAATAATTTGGTTTATTCTTTGAGAGGTGACATTATTTTGTAACCTGTTTGACTAATGATGCCGAGTTAGTTTAACTAATGTAGCAAATATACTTATTTTCTCTTAACCTTGAATTTTATCTGTGTTTAAGTTCTTATTCTTAACTTTGTTTAATGCAAACTGGAGTTTATTATGATACAATTCCATAAACGTAAATAAAATCACGATCTATATCTCCAGAATGTAACTTTATTAGCTCAATATTTCGCTATTACAGCTTCTTCAGGAGCTATCCATATCCTACAAGTTCACTAGTCCAGTTAAATCTAAATTTAGATTTTGTTGAAGTATGTTCATTATGATAATATAATGTGTAATTATTTCACTCTACCGTTCCATTAAAAATATTTCAAATACACGTGTAATTATAATGATTTGTCCAGTTAATAATTCAAACTTGTTCGTATCATGAATATAACCAGTTTCCTGGCAGAGTATTTCTAACGCAGATAGAAATCTTTAAAAATACGTTTTTTTTTCCACAATTGAATAGAATGTGGTCTTATTGATTAAATAATTGAACACGCTAGAAGATTACAACCTGCTCTCCTACCTCCAGTAATGGAGTCCTATCGCAGCACGTTTGTTACTGAGCAGTTCAGATAACGAGGCGCCTTCATTAATTGATTTAAGTAGCATCTGTCCTTCCAACTTTTAAAAAAGACAAGTGTAATTTAAGAAGCCTAAATCCTTGCATCTTATAATTCACTTTGTTATACATTAAATATCGTATATGTGTTATGCACAGGGTATTCGCCCATATTTTAAAACTGTTTGTCCAATGTCTATAAAGGGATTCGGGGTTAGAGCATGCTCTCCCGGAAAATTTTGGGATTTTCCATGCTCCGAGATGCATTCTAGTGCGTTTCTGATAGGGATTTGATAAATATTCAATGGCTTTTACATTAATTGATTCTTACATTACTCCGTGTGTTTAGCAAGTGAAAATAACAATATCCAGAATTCTATATTTTTAGACCCTTATTTTAGTTGCACATTCTTGTATCCTTCTGTTCTGGTTCAAAAATAGAAAAAAGAAAGGCATCATTGAAGGCATGATTTTAAATACCGACATCTCCATACCATATTTTAACGAACTGTACTGTAGGGGGGGAGGGGGCGAAAAAAATATCTTAACTCAAGTATACATGATTGTTGATCCGAAATTGTTCACAAATTTATTCAACCTAGATACAACCGCAACAACTGACTGCTTCAAAATATGTTCACGCAAGGTTCGTGACGGGTTGTACATTTTTCAAATTTGACATCCGGGATTCATCGCTTCGACAAGTAAGCTCAATTAATAAGAGCATGTCAATAGTATCTGACTGACCGCAGTATTCGCGTTATCAAAGTTATGTCAATCAGTTAGGAATAAACTGTTGTCTGGATTGTTAACTCGACATTACTTGCATAGTGTGTCTGTATGACGTAATTACGGTTGAAGATGATGATATCCCGTGCCCAAGTACCTGTCATTTATGAACTTGAAAGAAGTCATGTTATTATTGTTCATGTGTGTGACTAGCGTGACAAAGAACGCTACAATTCTACAGCAATAAGTGTGATATGTAGACACGCATCTTCGAAACTTTGGAAACGTTTTGTGAAAGTATGAAATAGTGTTAACGAGATTATATATGTAAAATAATATTCAACACGCATTACTCAAAGTTTAATGCTATAACGCCCTCTATATTAATATTACGCATGTGAGTTAATACGTGAACCTAGTAACAATTAGGCTTTACCCACTACCGATAAGTTTCTTCCTCAATTTATTATCGAATTTAAATAATAATATCTGTAATAAGCAATTGGCGAAGATGAAATAAAAAGTTCTGGACAGTTTTGAAGCATACTCTTGCTCTTAACTCGTTAATACTGATGTAATGTTTTCTATTTTTAATGAGAGTCGCGGGTTCGAATCCCCGTTCCACCAAACATGCTCGCCTCTTTTAAGCCGTTAGGGCGTTATAATGTGACGGTCAATCCCACTATTCGTTGGTAAAAGAGTAGCCCAAGAGTTGGGGTTTAGTGGCGATGACTAGCTGCCTTCCCTCTAGTCTTCCATTGTTAAATTAAGCACGGCTAGTGCAGATAGCCCTCGTGTAGCTTTGCGCGAAATTCAAAACAAGCACAGTCCGCGTATCGATAACAAAAAGGTTTTGACATTTAGCGTAAGCATCGTTCGCTGACAGAACTAATTTCAGAAGGAAACTACGTCTAACAGAAATTTCCATTTCATTGCTAATTTCGTATTTCCATTTCTTCGTCAAGACAAACTCAACTTTCACGTGCTAAATAACTGACAACTGGCTGGTGTGACAAACTAAATCATGCACTGGTTACTCATCTAATCAACAGATTCGCTTACTTGCTTTTTATGTGTGGATCAAAAAATTTCCGTAACTTTGGAGAAAGTTCTGGACATTAAGGCACACCCACTATGTTAAGATAAATATCACTCCGGCTTAAACAACAATACAAATATCTATAAACGTCTAGACTGAGAGAAAATAATAACATTGGCTACAACGATATCAAAAACAGGTTATTTATCGAGAAGAAAATTAAAACACTACCCATTATTTCATCGTTTAAGACGTGAAATGTATGGGGTTTTAAATATTGTTTGTAATCCGAATTTACTAAAAATCAAGTATTAAAAACCCATATCTTGCCTTCATAAGATCGGTTCAATTGCTGAGCAGTTTTAGTGTTTGAGTATATACAATGTTAAGACTAATATTAACACAGTGAAAATAAAGATAACTATATTAAGCTGTTTGATAATATTTCTTTTTCTTTTTTTTTGCTGGACATGTTTGGTAGGGAGAGGTATAGTAATATGTTTATTTAGATTTTGATTACGAATCAATAAATATCGAAGCATATTAAGTTCACAAAAAGTTCAGGATTCTTTCTTTGTTGTTGTTTGAATTCGTCGGTTTCCATGTAGATGGATCAAAGTTACTGATACCATCTTATAAGAACGTTATCTTACCGTTGAAATCGGGGCCGCATTTACGCAAAGGCAGAGTAGGCAGTTGTCTAGGGCTGCAAATTTAAGAAACCTCGAACGAAAGCGGTAACTTGAATTATGTTTTTATTTGATTTTGCAGTGCACAATCCGCTGCACCAGAGAGAGATACCAATCAAGAGCGCTGAGTGATCGTGCGATTATTGACGTAACTAATACAAATATTTTGTTTCTAGAGCGATCACATGGAGGACGGCACTATACCTTAATGCGACCATGGTTGAAATATAATAATTACAAAGTGCAGTTAAGTTAAACTTGAGAAAACGTAAGTTCCTAGTTGTTTAAACAAGTATCTTCTGTTTTCGTCTCGAAAAGTATTGCATGTTCCTTGTAAATGTTCGAATTTTTGAAAGGAAAATTCTGGAAATTTACTAGTTCACTGGTGAACAATGCCTGGAATGTATTATTTTACAATGAAATTTCTATTATTTGTCGTACAAAACATAAGAGAAGTGAATTAACAAGGCATTTCTCCCTGTGTGATACTGTCGAAAGTTATCCCGAGAAGATAAATACAAGTAAATAATTAAATTTGAAATTTATCAGGCAGAAATAAATGTGATTGATTCGTATTTTTATTACAGAAATAACAAAAGTACGAAACTCTTTGTTTCAAATCAATGGAACTAAAAAAGAACCACTGGTTTTACCAGAGCCTGTTGGTGAACACGTTACCATCCAGGAGAAGGTGTTTGTACCTGTAAAGGACTATCCTGATGTAAGTGGAACTCCCAGTTTTTAAGTTAGTTTATCAAAAGTTTTTCCTTTTTTTTAAAAGAAAAAAACATTGTTATACAAGACATCGAGAGGGTATTCACAGTTGAAGTTGTAAATAAACTAGTTAGAAACCTAGCAACTATTATCATTATAGTAAACTTTTTAAACAGAATAGTTTTTCTAAGATAAATAAGTGTATCTCTGTTTTTATAGATATGATACTAAAGAGAGAGCCCCCAACGCTTCTATCGTGTATATTAAGTTCTTACTTACATTTCCAGAATTCTCATTTAACTATGTTATTACAAACACCATAATTGTAAATACTTGTTATTTTACAAAATTCAATTTTAACCTTTTAAAGGATCAACTTAAGATAAAATTATAGGCGCACTCATGCTAGACAAAGCTACTTGACATATTTCGATTCTGTTAATTCTAGATTTAGGTACTTTGACGTCAACACTAGCATCTTCTAAAAGATAAATCATGTATACCGACATCTAGCTAATTATATACATAGGCTTGAAATTATTGCGGATTTACACAGCAGCTTTTAAGTGCCAAGCAACCGATATCACAACTGAGATGAACTCACTAGTGGCTGATGCATGTTATGGCTGTTACAGCAGTTGCGCGTCTCAGCGAGATAAGTTACTGCCAAGAGTTACTCCAACAAAAAAATTGTGATTATATTGCATAGGATTACCCGCAATGGATAATTAAACATTCAAACCATCCAAAACTACTTTCAAGATAAAAAAAACTGTGAAGATACGAGTAAGAAAAATGACGTTTTCACAAAGAGTGGACGGCGTCCACCCTTGAGACACATACTTGTTAATCCCATGAATGTCGGAAAATACAAGTATTCATAAGAAGGATGAATCCATAGGTGTGTTAAATAATGAAAAGGATTTGAGAGGATAATGACACGCATGCAAGTCAATTCTGATACCAACTGGAATACGAGTCGCTGAAGTATTCCAGTTAAAGTGTTATCTGGTACCCTAATCAACTGGACATTTTTGTATTTAGCCTTTTCTAAATGTTTATATTACCACATCAGAAAAGCTAAGCATTTTCTGACCATATAACCTAAATAAATTAATATATAAAAATTACTTTGAAAATGTTAGTAAGGTTTCAGATTCTACTCACAAGCATATTATTACTGGCATCTAAGTTATAAAATGTACAAGGTTACAAGCTACAAAGATTATTGGTAAATATTCTAAAAACGTCATTAAAGCGACATCATAAGTGACCTGATAGAGCAAATAGAAACGGAATTAGATCACTACATAATTAATCTTGTTGTGGTTATCCGCCTAAGTTTGTTTTTCTATAGTGGGAACACTTTAGTCTGAGTACGGTTGACGGATTTTTTCTTCTTAAGAATTAACCAATAGGTATTTCTTTGTCCATTCAAACGTAAAATTAAACAAATTTCTTAACACCTATACACAAGCTCCTATTTTTTGTCGCAATCTGTGCTCGTATTAATATTAAAATCATGTAAATTCTTTCCGATTATTAGCAAAGTAAATTAGTTTGTTACCAGCATTATCGAAACTTTTAACAAATTTATAAAGTAGTCAAATATTCAAAATTAGCGTATTTATTTACTGCATTTTAAGTTATATATATATATATATATATATATATAATAAAGTAATAAGTATTATAGATATAAAATAAAAGTAAAGTAGTACAGAC